AGAGGTCCCTGACAGCCGATTTGATGCCTCCTGATCTCCCCCTGACTGCTGGTACCAATGGTGTTGATTTTTAATCCAAGTAAGATGAAATTGTTGACAATTTCAGTTCCTCCCCCCCCATCTATCATGATGCTGCTTATTGGTCCAGTGGTAAAGACTTTTTTTCTTCTTGATGTTGAAATGTTAAAGGTTTTAGTCTTTGATCTTCTGTAGCAAGCGCTTCCAGTCCTTCTCACTTTCAGCAAGCAAGGCTGTGTCATCTACATAACAGAGATTATTGATGAATCTTCCTCTGATTTTATGCCACATTTTTCTTCCTAGAGTCCAGCTTCTCAAATGATTTATTCAGCATACAAATTGGATATGGAGAAAGGATATAACCCTGACATACACCTTTCCTTATTTTAAGCTTTTGTAGTGTTCCCATGCTCTGTTCAGACAACAGCTTCTTGTTCTGGATAAAGGTTTCATATGAGCATAAATAAGTGTTCTGAGACCCAACCACATTTTTCTCAATGTTAGCCATAGCTTGTTATGATCTACGTAGTCAAATAATGACCTCACAATTCAATAATTTGATGAAATTGTCTTTTTTAGTCTAAGATAGAAACAAAACTGAGCTCTCCTAACTTCTGGTCTATTCCTCTCCTACTCTACCACTCCAATCAGTTTCTACTTGGTTCTTATATGTGTTCGGGAAAGAACTGAATATGCTTTGATCCATTTAGGCTTGGTCTTTGATTGGCCCTCTTAAGATTATTATTTTAGGCTGAATGACACTCCTCATCCTCCCAACCTCACTTTTTTTCAACTACCTCCTTGTGGACCATCCTTTTCCCTTCAGGTTCAGGACTCTTTGTTTCCTGTATTCCACCTGCCATTGGATACCATCATGATGCCTCTCAAATTCCCTTGGAAAGCTGGATGTGGTCCTTGAACCTTGCTGTCTTTAATTTCTGTGACTGGAGTAATGGGGTAGGGGGTTAGTTGTGTCAGAGATAATAAGATTGGCACAGGATAGAGCAGAGTATAGGGCTATTGTACATAGAGTCATTATGAGGGCAGGTGACTCGAGGGCACATAACAACAATAAACAACATCAAGTAAAAACTGCAACTATTGATAGTAAGTCTGGAGATCAAGCTGTGGTGTGTCAAAAACTAAATGCTGGATTGAGCTGAACAGACTGCCTGGGACCAGAGTTGTTTGGTTTGTGTGTTTTTTAATCTGTAAATATTTTCTCATTGGATCTCTGCTTACCTTCTATAACACAAGGGGACTGAACAAAAAGATCTTTATTTTTTTTTCCATTATAAGAGCCTTTGCCTTCTGATGCATTTTTTTTCTGGCATCAGTAGATGTATGTTGAAGCCCTGCCAGGAAGCTCTGGTAGACTAGAGGTAAGAATTATACCGCCAACCCAAAGGCAGGTGATTTGAATCCACCAGCTGCTCTATGGGAGAAGATAGGCAATCTTTTTTTCACGCAATTTACAGCCTCTGAAAACCCACTGGAGGGTCAGCTGTGAGTCAGTTCTGACTTGATGGCAATGACTGCTCACAACAACAACAACAACAACAACTATGGAACCTGTACTTGCTGATTTTATGGAGCACATAAGAGAAAACGATTGTAATCAACATGACAAGGTAAAATTAACAGAAGCAATCAAACAACATTTTTAAAAACACTATAAAATTTTCTGCTGGAACATGTACTATAAATGAAATAGGAGTTTGGAAGGTGATTGGGTATCAGACAAGCACTGGTCCTGATGATTTGACAATGGATGATAGATAGGATTTGGATAAATAGAGAAAATGATCTCCGGAAATTTTTGAACCCAGATTTTTGAAATCAGCATTCTGTAGGTTTATTCTATTTTCATTTATAACCCCTGAGTTTTTTTCATTTATAAATCCTGATTTTATCTATTGCTATTTATTTGAAGGGCCTGTGGCAGTTAATGAGCAAGATGATTAGCTTTTTCATCCTTCTTGATAAGGCACACTGATGGCATGTCTCACTGTTAACGGAAAGGTCCACCAGCTGCTGTATAACAGAAGCCTGATGGAGGGTCTTTATGAGTAGGAGTTAACTTTACAGCTATGTCTCAAATATTTTTAAAGGTGTATAACTGTGATATTTGAGAAAGGGAAAAAGGTATAAAACCAGCTTCCTGTCCTCCTGCACAAAAAGGGAGAAAAAATAAGCCCAAGCTACTCCTCCAAGTAGGGACTTTCTTATGTTGCTTGAGAATTTAGGTAGTGCCAAGAGGAATGGAAAAACACAAGTTCTAATTTTGAAAACTGACAGAGTGCAGGGAGACATTCACATATGTTCATTACTCTCACTTGCTTCTTCTGTTACCCCTCCTCTGCCAGACATAATCATATTAATCTTTCTTCTCATTTTTCACTCGCTCAAAAAGACGGATGCTTTGATGCTCAGGAAAACACCTACACACCAATGTATAAATACACTTACATCTTACTGATCTGTCCTTCATAAGGCTATTCATTCTCACAGCAACATTCAACTAGACAAACATGAGTGTCTTATTTTGTTACATTTTAAATTTTTATTTGTGTGGAAGTTTACAAAGCATATTGAGTTCTCCACCCTCCACAATCATTCTTGTGCTCTTAGTTCAATAATGTTAACAGCACACACTATGTCTGAGTATCCATTTATTATGAATTGTTCTTCCCTTCACCCCTACCAATAAAGTGTTCATTTTACATTAATTTTCTTCTTGCTCTCTGCCTCCCTTGGCAGCTTACTGGAGTGATTCTCTTCATATGTAAACTTTTTCTAGTTGTTTTTTTTTTTGTAACTTTAACAGTGATATGATACAGTATTTGTCCTTTATAATTAACTTATTTCACTCAACATAATGGCATAATATTCTCTAGACTCATCCATATAGTGTAATATTTCATGAGTGAGTTCTTAATTGTTCAATTCTGCATAGTACCCCCTTGTGTAAATGTACCACAGTTTCTTTATTCATTTGTTCATTGATGGGCACTTGGGTTGTTCCATCTCTTTGTACTGAGAATATTGCACAGTAAACATGAATGTGCATATGTTTGTTCATGTTGTAATTGTTGTTTCTTTAGAGTATATTTCTAGTAGTGGGATAGCTAGCAACACGAGTATCTTTGATATACTATATACTCTACATTGGAGATGAATAAGGTAAGACTTTGCCCCAAGTTGTTGTTGTTATGTGCCATCAAGTTGCCTGCTACTCATAGCAATCCTATGTACAACAGCCCTAAACTCTGCTATATATATCCTATTCCAATCTTATTATCTCTGACACATCTACCCCCATTACCCTAGTCACTGAATCAATCCATTTCATTGAGGGTCTTCCTCTTCTGTATTGTCCCTCTACCCTCCCAAGCATGATGTCCCTCTCCAAGGACTTGTCCCAAGTAGTATATAATAGTACATTTATACAGATAAATACTTAGCTATAAATAAGAAAGTCCACATATACAAAAACCTCAATGCCATTGAGTCAATTCTAACTCATATAGGCAGAGTAGTGTTTCCAAGTCTATATTTTTTTTAATGAGGAAAGAAGTTCAAGCTGCTGTTGATCTTTTTTTTTAAATTAATTTTAATGAAAGTTTACAAAGACTTAGGGTTTTCAGTCATTCATTGTTATACTTTTCTCCCTACTGACTCCCCCACTCCCCCAATTCAGTCTTCTCCTTGAAAAGAAAAAGAAAAGCCCTTTCATTATTATGCAGTCCCTACCCACCAAGTCCACTCCACTATGCAACCTTCACTCTGGACAACTGTAATGACAAGAATACCCATTCATATATCCCTTTTAAACAATTCTCTCCCTCATATGTTTCAATGCAGTATACATCATTCCTCCCCTCCTTTTCTGTCTTCCCTCAACCCTGATGTCAGTCTTGTCTTACAACAGTGATCCTATGTAATATTTGTCCTTTTGTGACTGAGATATTTCACTCAGCATAATGTCCTCCAAGGTCATCCATTTTGCATAGTATTTCATGAGTTTCTTGTTTTTCAGTGCTGTGTAGTATTCCATTGTGTGACTATACCAGAGCTTCTCCATCTATTCATTTGTTGATGGAAGGCTATAATTTTTAAGGGGGCAGGTTATCACATCTTTCTCCCAAGGCTGGTGAGTTCTAACTATTAACCTAAAGGTTAGAAATTGCATGCTTTAACTATTGTGCCACCCGGCTTCCTGAGTAAGGTACACATATATACTTTTCTAATTCTGAGAAATAAAAATTGTCCATCCACTGAGAGGCATACACATGAAGATACATAAACACCTGCTCACCATAAATTCTCTACTGGAACAAGTGAAGGGGAGGACAGTGTGGGATGAGTGAACAATCAGACATTCTGTGCATTGTAGTTAATAATATTGAATAAGATATGCATAATTGATTGACTGGGGGCAGGAAAGTTTTGCTTACACACAAGTAGAAATAATCATGGAGGGTTGCCATGACTGTGAAGGGAAGGGGAGAGGAGATTGGTGAGTGGATGGTGACATAAGGAAATGGCGAGGTACAGTGAGTATTTGAGGAGATAATGTCATAAATGGCATTTATCAGGTTTAACTAATCCTGTAAAACAAAATATATATGAATTATTGAATGAAAATAAATTTCTAACAAAACCAAATCCCAGCTGCACATTCCTAAAGCACTGGTAAAGTGAGGGAGATCTCCTTTTTCCCTTTGTATTTTTTCATCTTTAAGATTCTAAAAATGTTCTCTCTTTATAACTAGAGATACCTGGGAAGGAAGGGGTAAACCTTTTGAATGAGAAAAAGAAGAACTTTCTTAAGAATGGTCTCTGACTTTGTTTACTCAGTTGACACCATGAAAACACATATTCATTGATATTTTAATGATATATTTCTTAAAATGGTTATTTTGAATCATGATATATCAAATCATCTTATTCATTTGTTTTCATTTTTTAATTTATTGTAGGTATTTGAAGAAAGAAGAGCTCTGCTTGGAAAATGGGTAACAATTTCCTATTATATAATTATGTTATTTTCAAGTAAAAAACACTCAGCTTGGACTCAAGGTAGTTCAAATAAGCATTGTTTCATTTCCTAAGAAATGTGATGCCTTCTATGTGTATCAGTTGGGATTTGGCCAAGAAAATAGAAACCACGCAAGTTATTTTAATAGACATGAGTTAGTAAAAGGACTTCCCTAAGCACGTAGTATTGCATGCTGTCAATTCGGAACTAACCCATAGCCGACCCTCCAGCAGATTTTCAGTGGCAATAAGTCACACAAGAGGAGATTGTCTATCCCGCTCCCATGGAGCAGCTGGTAGATTTGAACTGGGTTCCTTTAGAATTGCAGTGCAACTTCTTACTACTAGGATCACCAAACTCCTTATAATAAGCAAGTATTAGAGAATGGAAAAGATGAAAAAGGACATGTCTATCAAAACACTGACATAGAACTGCAGGAAGCAGCTACTCTCAGCTTTACTGATACCTCTGCAACTCAGAAGGACTTCTTCCTGCTGGAGACTGAATCCATGAGAAAGGACATGTCTTCATGGCCTGTTGATTCAGATCTATCTAAAAGGCGTGGTGACTCTGGAAGTATGGGAAAACTAGAAACGGGCATTAACTGCTTCTACATGCATGAAGAGCAAGGGTGGCACTCACAGCAAACTTCAAACAAACAGAAAGGAATAAATGAGTCCCTTATTCTCTGTCCCTTGACTTTGCTCTAGTGTCTCCTCCACTGGCAGCATTCAACAAGGGTCCAGCTGTCAAAGAAAAAGTACTATATGCAGAGCATAACCTTGAGAACAATGGGAATCCCCAAACACTTGATCATGCTCATGCAAAATCTATACCCAGACAAAGAAGCTGTTGTCTAATCAGAACAAGAAAATGCTGCTTGGTTCAAAATCAAGAAAGGAATGCATCAGGATGTGTCCTGTTTCCACATGTTTTCATTCTACGTATTGAACAAATCATATGAGAGACTGGATTTTATAAAGAAGATTATGACATCAGGATTGGAGGAAGACTTATCAACAACCTGCATTATCCAGTTGACACAACCTTGCTTGCCAAAACTGAGGAGGACTTGAGGCACTTACAGCTGAAGATGAAATAATATAGCCTTCAATTTGGATTGCATCTCAACATCCAAAGAGCAAAAATCATCACCACCAAGCCAACAGGCAGCATCATACTAGATGGAGAAAAGATTGAAGTTGTCAACTGTTTCATCTTTCTTGGATTCACAATCAACACCCTTGGCACTAGCAGTCAGGAAATCAAAAGACAAGTTTCCAAAGTGCTAAATAGCAACAATGTTAGACTATAGACAATCCAGGTGATGGTCTTCTCAGTTGCATGCTATACATCTGAGAGCAGCACAATGACTTAAGGATGAAAGAAGAATCAATGCCTTTGAGTTGTGGTAGTCAAGAACAGTGAACATACCATGGATTACCAGGAGAATAAACAAGTCTGTCCTGGAGGGGGTGAAACCAGGTTGTTCCTTGAAGACAAGGAGTTTGAAGCTTCGTCTCACATACTTTTCGCTAATCCTTGGAGAGGGACGTCATGTTTTGAAGGGTTGAAGGTCAGTGCAGGAGTGGAAAACCCTGGATAAGATGGACTGACACAGTGACTATGCAATGGGATCAGGTGTATTGGAAGTGGTGAGTTTGGGTAAGGAAGGGGCAAGGCTCAGAGGAGTTGTTCATGAGGTCATTATGAGTTATAATCATCTTGATGGCACATAACATAACACATATTTAAACTCCCACACAAGAACTGTGACAACTTTATACCTTGATGTAACCAGAAAGAACTATCCTTCATACACACACTTTTTCACATGATTTCCAAAATACAGGGACGTATTTCTCAATAGTGGCTTTTCATTTCTGGGCACTATTAATTCCTCACCAAATTCATCTGCAGCCTTTACCTGAATATTCTCTACTGCTCAAGAGACTTGAAAACACATGCTTATGTGAAAAATTGTACAAAATATTTATATAAACATTATTAATGGTAGTTAAAAGTGTAAACAGCCCACAGTCCATCAGCTCATGATTTATCCTTGTCATAGTCAGATGTGTGAACGGATATATTTAATGTAACTCACTTGATGCTACTAATTTAGATAACATTTGTGGAGAGCCCCAAATTGATGTGACTAAGCATTTGAGTATGTTGATCATAACAAATTATGGTTAACATTGAGAAGAATGGGAATTCCTGAACACTTGATTGTGCTTGTGCGAAACCTATACCTAGACCAAGATTGTGTTGTACAAACAGAGCAAAGGAGCACAGCATAGTTTAAAATTAGGAAAGGTGTGTGTCAGGGTTGTATCCTTTCTCCATACTTATTTAATCTGGATGCTGAGCAAATTATTCAAGAAACTGGACTCTGATGAAGTATGTGCCATCAGTATTGGAGGGACACTCATCAGTAACCTTCGTTACGAAGATGACACAACTTTGCTTGCTGAAATGAGGAGAACTTGAAGCACTTGCTGCAGAAGGTTAAATGTTGCAGCTTTCACTATGGATTGCATTTCAACATCAAGAAAACAATAATTCTTACCACTGGATCAATAGGCAACGTCATAATGGATGGGGGAAGGATTAATACTGTCAAGGATTTCATCTTACTTGGATCCACTTTCAGTCTACTTTTGAATACCAGCATTCAGGAGATCAGGAGATTAATGACTCTGAAAAAAGTCTGCAGTCAGAGACCTCTCCAAATTAGTGAAGAGTAATGATGTCAGCTTGAAGACAAAGGTACACCTGCCTGATTCATGCCATGATCATTTTATTCACTTGCTATGCATCTAAATTATGTATTTGATACAGGTCATGGTCTTCGCAATCACTTTTTATGCATCAGAGAGTTGGACAATGACTAAGGAGGATAGAAGGAGAATTGATGCCTTTGAGCTGTGGTGCTGGAGAAGAGTATTGAAAATACCATGGACTGGTAGGAAAACAAACAGATTTGTCCTGGAAAGGGTTAAACTGGGTGGCTCCTTGGAGGCAAGGATTCTGAGGCTCCGTCTAACATACTTTGGACATATTGTAAGAGATAAGTCCTTGGAGAAGGACATCATGCTTGGGAGGGTGGAGGGACAGCACAGGAGGGGAAGGCCCTCTATGAGGTGGATTGATTCGGTGACTGGGATAATTGGGATGGGAGTGTCAGAGACAGTGCGATTGGCACAGGATAGAGCAGAGTTTAGGGCTGTTGTACATAGGGTCGCTATGAGTTGCAAGCGACTCGACGGTACATAACAACAACATGCATCTAAAAGCTGGATTTGACTAAGGCTTACAGAAGAATTGATGTCTTTGGAGAAGGGTGCTGAAGATCCTGTGGACCACCAAAAAAACAAAAATGCTTCTTGGAGAAGGTGCAGCCAGAGTGCTCCTCAGAGGCAAAGATAACAAAGCTTTGTCTTACATACTTTGAACATGTTATTAGGAGAGGTCATTCCTTGGAGTGGGACATCATACTTGGATAGGTGAAGGGATGATGAAAAAAGAGAAAGAGTCTCAACCCAGTGAATTGACACAGTGACTGCAGCAATCGATTTGAGTGTGTCAGAGATTGTGAAGAAGGCATGGGACAAGACAGTATTAAGATTGGTTGTTCATAGGGTCACTATGAGTCATACTTGACTCATTGGTGCCTAACAATATTCATCTGGTGCTTTTTAATATAGTTGACCAACTTCTGTCTGTTTTGATTAGCAGGTGGCATTGTCAGGAGGTGACTTTTTGTCCATGTCTTCCCCAGTGTCAAGGACATTCCTAGCTCAGGGGCCTAGGTCCAAAAGAACACACTCCAAGCGTAGTGATTATTTCTTGTTGGTACTGAGGTGCCTTCTCTGGGCACACTTTCTTCCCCTTTTATCTATGCTGAGATGAAAGTATTACAGGCTGCATTCTAGGGAAACTGCCTTTCTATCTCTCTGATCCTCTTCCCCCTAATCTTCTTGCAGCTAATTGGCTTATCAGATCTTGAAGGATGACTAAATAGCATCCACTTTCTATATCATTCCATTGTGGGGACAAAATCCTATCAGTGACAAGTGCTTTCTATTATGCTTTTTTTTTAAATAATGGAATGCTTCACAAATTTGCATGTCATCCTTGTGCAGGGCCCATGCTAATCTTCTCTGTATCATTCCAATTTTTTAGTATATGTGCTGCCGAAGTGAGTACAATTATTATGCTTTTTATTATACATTCCTTGATGCTTCATATATCAAACTCACTGCCATCAAGGGGATTCTGACTCATAGTTAGCCTGTAGGAAGAATGGAGCTGCCTCTAAAGTTTCCCAGGCTGTCAATCTTTACAGAAGCAGACGGCCCTGTCTTTCTCCTACAGAATGAAAGGGTGGTTGGATTCAAATCACTTTTCGGTTAGCAGCCAGATTCTTTTACCCTTACACCCCAACACTCCTTGGTGCTTAATATAAACATTTAGTAAATATTTTTAAATTCATAAACAGGGATGCCCATTTGTTTTTCTTTTGTCCAACAACTAATTTATTCCTTAAATTCACTGCTCCTGTTAGGTGCCATTGAGTTGATTATGACTCACAGAGACCCTGTGAACAACAGATCTGAACCCTGTCCTATCCTGTGCCATCCTCATCATTTCTGATATACTTCTTTATATTGATCCATTTCTTAGTCACTGCGTTAATTCATCTGGCTGGGGGGTCATCTTCTCTTTCACTGACCTTTCCAAACATGATGTCTATTTTCAAGGATTCACTTGAAAAATTCACTGGATCATATCGTTGTTGCTAGGTGCTGTGAGGTCAACTCTGGTTCACAGAAATCTTAGGTACAACAGATCAAAACGCTCCCCAGCCCTGCACCAGCCTCACAATCTCCACGGCACTGAAGCCCGTTGATGTGGGTCATCTGTGAATTGTTTCTGAATTGACAGCAAGGAGGTGCATTTGTTCCTTTTTTCTTCTCTACTTTTTCCACTTTTCTAACTTCTTCAAAGCTTCTATAAAAAGAAATTGCTTTCTCTTTCAAATGGAAGCTTTTTTGTATCCTCCTGAATGCCAAGGTTTCTTGCTACAGCAATCTGTCTTACTCCTAAATAAAATCTCTGTTAAAATTTTTTAGAGCTTAGCTCCAAAATCTGTTATTTAACAATGTAGATGTATAGAACATGTGATCAGTGGATAAATCTAGGGAGTGTGGGGTACATTGGATGAGAAAAGAGTAGCTAACTGGAATTTTCATGTTTAATTCCTTACATACTTATTTAAAACTTTGTATAGCTGCAGTGTATTTATGCTTCAATTTTGAAATAATTTTTTATAATAGGACTCAGAACCTCAGACAGATTAGAATAAATACACCGATAAACAGACCAAAAAAATAACAAACTTCCCTCTTCATCCTGCTCCCAACCCCTCATGACCCTTTCCTGTCGATGTGATGACCTGATGGCCCGAGAAGCCATCCTCACTTCCTGACACTGCAGTACGAATCCCTGGAACAAACACTACACTAAAAGTGGGATTTTTTACAATTATTTTGAATCAAGAAAGGCCTATAACAGCACGCTTCAGGACCCAATTATGACAGGAAATACTATACCAGAATGAGAAGACAGTAGAAACATTGAATTCATTGCTTGTTATGTTTATTTTCACATGAGAAGTGATGCATGAGATGTGGGAAATTACTGAATTCTTGTACAATTAACTACTCCATGGATCATCTACCTTTAGGATTATGGTTCAAACTCTTGACTACTAAACTCAAGGTTGGCACTTTTGAGTCTCTCCTTGGAAGAGGAGGAATCAGCCAGCTTCTATAAAGATTTACAGCCTTGGAAATTCTAGAGCAGTTCTGCTCTGTTCTACAGGGTCACTCACTCGTTGCCATCTAGTCTGAACTGACTCATAGCTGACCCTCCAGTGGGTTTTCACAGGCTGAAAATAACACAGCGAGTGGACTCAAGCTGCCTATAAATGACCAGCGAGTGGACTCAAGCTGCCTGTCTTTGGATTGACTATCTAACTCCTTACCTACTAAGATACTAGCTACGAATTGCATTCAACTGGAAGACAGTGGGTTTGGAATTTGTGTTTTTACATCACATTATTTTATTCAGAGGTTTTGGGGGGAAGAGCCAAAGAAGCAGGGGAAATGAGGTTCGCTCGAGATCTAGCCAGGACTCCAAAAGGGGTTTGGCTTTTTTGTTTTTGTTACACATTCTTCTGAACCCACTACCCATCTTAAATTTACATTAATTCAAGGAATACAAATTAGTTTTCCATCAGCCTAAGCAAACACAATTAGAAAGGAAAATCCCTTGAGGCAAAGAACACCTATCAAAGCAAAATATAAATTACTTTTGGCCATTGCAATCAGGAAAATAAATAAGAACCCAATGTAATTATCTTTTTAATCTCTAGAGGAAATGCTTTAATGTTTTTCTTTATAAATTTCTTCCATATCTTATAACACTAATATTCTTTTACATTCATTTTAAATCTCTGCTTCTGTGATCTGAACCCATTCTCTTTGGGGAGGCATCAAGAACATAAGCTCAACTAAGTCCTTCTTAAGGTGCTGCTTATTTGTTTCAGTGTACAAACATCATAATCGCATGGATTCTAATTTAATTTTTTGGTGTATCTTCTTTCACATTGATTTAGCACCCCCTACTTATTATTTTTAACATCACTGTGGTATTTTATAATAATAGCCTCTATGTCTACAGTGAGTCATACGCTCCATTAGAAATTTTATACATTTTTAATCTTCACCACAACTAAGATTGTATATATAATTATCCTTAATTTATAAATGAGCAATTTGAGGCTAAGAGAGGTTGTTAGTGGTAGAGCGAGGATTTTGTAATTTAGAAGTAATAAGATATTGGGACAGAGGCTCCCAATTGTCACACTCAAAAACCCATCATCTATCCATTTTATATCACATTGATATTTTACAGCTTGCTTAGCTGAATCCTACTGTTAGACATTTTGTGTTGTTGAAATATATTACGCAGTGAGAATATCACAAAGTCTACCATTTTTCTACAAACATATCAGTCCTTTACATATTGTTGTTGTTGCGTACTGTAGAGTCAGAACCGACACAGAGCTGACCCTCCAGTGGGTTTTCAGAAAAAGTTAATCACCGAAGAGGATATTATCCATCTTTCTCCTGAGGAACAGCTGGTGAATTAGAACTGGGCACCTTTGTGTTAATAGTGTGATTCTGTGTGTGTGTGTGTGTGTGTGTGTGTGAACACCATCAAATCAGATCTGACTGATACAGGAGGAGATTGTTCCACCTTCTCCAGCAGAGCATCTGGTAGATTCAAACCACGTACCTCTGGGATTATAGTGCAGCTTCCTGCCTCTAGGCCACCAGAGCTCGCTGTGTAGTGTGATTCTTTACCACTAAGCCACACCATTCAGTATGCTCTCTTTGTCAGGTATATTTGCATTCTATACATTTTCTCTAATAGCAACTAAGAATTTCTAGTACTGACATTTTAAGCACTGATGAGCTAATATAGAAACTATTTGGGAGGGAGCCCTGCTGAGGCACCTTCTCTGGAAATTGTCTTTTATGTTTGCATTTTCTCAGCCTACAAATAAGAATAGTTCCCAATTCACTGTTTTTATGTTACTGTTGATTCTGAGATTAGACACACACAGCATTTGCACATGCTCACAAACATAACTGTGAGAGAAGACAGTGACATGGTTTTAAAAAACATCTAGTAGTTAGGAAGAGAGATACAAGGAATTCACCAGAAATAAATTACAAACGTCATTTTCTATGTCACTCTTAATCTCTTCCTCATAATGAATTTCCAGTATCATACTAAAGCTGGTCCCTTTTATGTTTGTCTTTTCCTAGTTTGACAAATGGACAGATTCTCAAAGGAGAAGAATCCTGACAAGCCTGTTAGAACGCTGCTCCCTGTCACAGCAGAAGTTCTGCTGTAGACAGCTTCAGGAAAAAATTCCAGCAGAAGCTTTGGATTTTACTACCAAGCTTCCGAGGGTGTTATCTTTATACATCTTTTCTTTCCTGGACCCCCGGAGCCTTTGTCGTTGTGCACAGGTAAGGGCAGAGAAGCACAAATGTTATTCTGGAAGGACAGCTTGAGGAAGGTGTTTGCTCTTCAGTTGACTCCCACACCATGTGGGTGAGAATAGATCTGCACTCAGAGGATTTTCAGTGTCTGACTTTTCAGAAATCTATTGCCTGGCCTTTCTAAGATGCCTCTTGGTAGATTCAAACTGACAGACTTTTGGTTAGCAGACAAACATGTTAACCTTTTTTTCTGCTTAGGAAAGAACAGCATAGGCTACTCTAAAACTTTAATCACCAAAGGGGGGAAAAAAACCACATATATCAAATCCAAGAAATAGATAAAATGGCAAAATAGCATGATAATAGTCTATATGGCTTTTTATCCCTACCTCGCTTGTGTCTAATTCTGTATTTTAGAGCTCAAGGGGAAAAAAACCAAATGTAAGACATTATCAGGCACTAGACACTGTTGCCTTTGAATGAATTCTAGCTTTAAAGAGTCTTGGCTGTGTGCAAGCCCTCGTGGCCTAGAGAATAAAATACTGCACTGTCAATTCAAAGGCAGACAGATTGAATCGACCAGTTGCTATGCAGGGGAAAGATGAGCAGTATCCTTCCGTGCAATTTATAGCCTCTGAAAACTGACTGATGAATTAGCTATGGGCCAGTACACAAAGGTATTGTGCTTTTTTGAGTTTTACTGCTATAGATGGCTAGGCCCTCAATTGTTCCTTGAAAGGATGGTATTTCTAATCTTTCCCATTAAAATGAGCTTTGACCTGTTTAGAAAGGAGAGTGTCTTGCACTTTTGAAAGGTCTTCTGTACCTTCTTAAGTGCTAAAGAGCAAAGGTATCAGATCAAAGACTAAGGTGCACCTGATCCAAGCAATGCTCTTTTCAGTTGTTTCCTAGGCATCTGAAAGTTGGACAGTGAATAAGAATGACAAAAAAAGAATCAGTGCCTTTGAATTGTGTGTTGGAAGAGTACTTAATATCCTCTGGACTGCCAAAAGAACAAACAAGAATGTCTTGGAGAAATGCAAACAAGGTGCTCCGTAAAGGCAAAGATGGTGAAACGTCATCTCATACTTTGAACATGTTGTCAAGAGGGACCAGTCCTTGGAAAGGTGGAGGGATCAGCATAAGAGAGGAAGATCCTCAACAACATGGATTGACATAGTGACTGTAACTATGTGCTTAAGTAGATCAGAAGTTATGGTGAGGATGGCACAGGAGAGGACAAGCTTCAGATCCATTGTTCACAGGGTCACTGTGAATTATAGTCGACTTGATTGCACTTAACAGCAACATCTGCCTTCCAAATTTCCTCATTCTTTTATACCTTTCAGAATCAAACAAAAGAAAATAGACACAAAAATCTTACCAGCTCTGGAAAAAAACTCACTAAGTTCTCAGGCCAAATAAAACAAGAGTGCTGGTGGCCTAGTGGTAAGAACCTGCACTGTAATCATAAAGACGTGTGGTTCAAATCCACCACATGCTTTGTGGGAGAAGGATGGGCCATCTCCTCTCATGTGATTAATTGCCTCTGAAAGCACACTGGAGGGTCAGCTAAGGGTCAGTTCTGACAAAACAGCATGTTGTTGTTGTTGTTTGTTGTTATGTGCCATCGAGTCACCTGTGATTCATAGCAACCCTATGTACAACAGCCCTAAACTCTGCCCTGTTCTGTGCCAATCTCACCATCTCCGACACTCACACCCCAGTCGCTGAATCAATCCATCTCTCAAGGGTCTTCCTCTCCTGCACTGTCCCTCCGCCCTCCTAAGCATGGTGTCCCTCTCCCAGGACTGGTCCTTCCTTGCAACATGTCCAAAATATGTCAGAGGAAGCTTCAGAATCCATGCCTACAAGGAACAGCTCGGCTTCACCCTCTCCAGGACAAAACTGTTTGTTTTCCTAGCAGTCCTAGGAAGAATATATTCAATACTCTTTTCCAACACCACAGCTCAAAGGCATCAATTCTTCTATCATCCGTAGTCATTGTCCAGCTCTCTGATGCATAGCAAGTGATTGCAAAGACCATGGCATGTATCAGGCGCACCTTAGTCTCCAAACTGACATCTTTGCACGTCAGCACTTTAGAGACGTATCTAACCACAGACTTTCCCAACACAATACATCTTTTAATTTCCTGGCTGCTGGTGCCAAGAGTGTTGACTGTGGATCCAAGCAAACCAAAACTGTGGACAATCTCAATCTCTTCCACCATTCACTATGATGCTGCCTATTGGCCCAGTGGTGAGAATCTTTGTTTTCTTGATATTGAGTCTCAATCCATACTGAAGACTGTCGTCCTTGACCTTCCACAGCAAGTGCTTCAGGTCCTTTTCAGTTTCAGCAAGCAGGGTTTTATCATTTGTATAACACAGTTTGTTGATGATTCTTCCTCCAATCCTGATGCCATATTTTCCTCATACAGCCAAGCCTCCTGGATAACCTGTTTTGCATAAAGATTGAAAAGGTATGGAGACAGGATACAGCCCTGGTATACACCCTTCCCAGTTTTGAACCATTCAGTGTTTTCTTGCTCCATTCTGACCACTGCCTCCTGGTCCAAGTATAGGTTTCCCATTAGCAATATCTATCAAGTGATCTGGGATTCCCATTCTTCTCAGAGTTAGTCACAGTTTGCTATGATTCACACAGTCAAATACCTTTGCATAATCAATGAAACAAAATAGCATACAACAACAATAAGGAAAAGAATGAGAACACACACACTCTCCCCTTTTTCTCTCTCTGTTAAAGTTTTAATTAATTTGTCTACTGAAGATTATCCAAAAACTACTGGAACAGCACATCAGCAGAGAACTGCCAGAAGTCCAGGCTGGGCTTAGAAGGGGTCATGGTACTAGGGATATTGTAGCTGATGTTAGATGGATCTTAGCTGAAAGCAGAGAATACCAGAGGAATGTCTATCTGTGTTTCATTGATTATGCAAAGGTGTTTGACTGTGTGGATCATAACAAACTGTGGCTGACTCTGAGAAGAATGGGAATCCCAGAACACTTGATTGTTCTAATGTGAAACCTATACTTGGACCAGGAGGCAGTCGTCAGAACAGAGCAAGGGAACACTGCATGGTTCAAAATTGGGAAGGGCATACGCCAAGGATGCATCCTATCTCCATACCTTTTCAACCTGTATGCAGAACAGATTATCCAGGAGGCTGGGCTCTATGAGGAGAAATGTGGGGTCAAGATTGATGGAAGATCTATCAACAGTTTGCGTTATGCAGATGACACAACTCTGCTTGCTGAAACTGAGGAGGACCTGAAGCACCTGCTGCAGAGGGTCAAGGACTGTAGCCTCCAATATGGATTGAGGCTCAATGTCAAGAAGACAAAGATTCTCACCACTGACCAATTGGCAGCATCAGGATGTTTGGTGAAGAGATTGAGATTGTACACAGCTTTGGTTTGCTTGGTTCCACAGTCAACACTCTTGGCACCAGTAGCCAGGAAATTAAAAGGCGCATTGCCATGGGAAAGTCTGTTGTTAGGGACCTCTCCAGGGTACTGAAGAGCAGTGGTGTCACTCTGGAGACTAAGGTGTGTCTGATACAGGCCATGGTCTTCACAATCACTTGTTATGCATCAGAGAGTTGGACAATGACCAGGGAGAATAGAAGGAGAATTGATGCCTTTGAGCTATGGTGCTGGAGAAGAGTATTGAGAATACCATGGATTGCTAGGAAAACAGATTCATCCTTGAAAGGGTTAAACCGGGTGGCTCCTTGGAGGCAAGGATTCTGAGGCTCTGTCTAACATACTTTGGACATGTTGTGAGGAGAGACCGGTCCTTGGAGAAGGACATCATGCTTGGGAGGGTGGAGGGACAGTGCAGGAGGGGAAGACCCTCTATGAGATGGATTGATTCAGTGACTGGGATAATCGGGATGGGAGTGTCAGAGACCGTGCAATTGGCACAGAACAGAGCAATTTAGGGCTGTTGTACATAGGGGTCACTATGAGTCACAAGCGACTTGATGGCACATAACACCAACAACAACATGGATGTTAAAGTCAGCATTGTTTCGTTTCTATGTTGAATAAAAGCAAAACCAAAGTCAGTGCCACCATGTTAGTTCTAACCCTATAGGACAGAATAAAGGATCAGCAAAAGAGAGGAAGACCCTCAATGAGATGAATTGGCACAGTGGCTGCAAGAACGTGCTTAAGCACAGCAGAGATTGTGAGTGAGGTGTGGGATCAGGCAGGATTCTGTCCTGTTGTGCATAGTGTTACTAAGAGTTAGAGCAAGCTCGCTGGCACCTAACAACAGAATGCTGGCGAGCTTGTGGAGAAACTGGAACCCTTATTCACTGTTGGTGGGAGTGTAAAATGGTGCAATCACTATGGAAGGCAGTATGGCGCGTTCTCAAAAAGTTGAAAATAGAGATATCATTTGACCCAGCAATTCCACTACTGGGAATTTACCCTAAATAAACCAGAACTGCCACCCAAGCAGATAAATGCACACCTATGTTCATTGCAGCTTGGTTCATAATAGCAAAGAGTTGGAAACAACCTAAGTGTCCATCAACAAACGAATGGATTGAAAAGCTGTCGTATATTCACACAATGGAATACTATGCTGTATTGAAAAAGAAGGAACTCATAAAATATTATACAAAATGGGTGACCCTGGAGGATATTATGCTGAGTAAAATATCTCAGTCACAAAGGGACAAACACTGCATAATGTCACTGTTATAAAACAGGACTGACATCGGGATTAGGGGGAATCTAGGAAAAGAGGGTTTAAATAATGTATACTGCATTGAAACAGATGAGGGATAGAACTGTTTGAAGAGAATAAATGATTGGGTATTATTTTCATGACAGGAGTCCAGAATGAGAGCTTCAGGGGGAGTGGACTTGTGGTGGGGATTGTATAATAATGAAAAGGTTTTTTTCTTTTTTTAAATTTTTTTTTTTTTTTTACTTTTCAAAGAGAAAAACCAACTAGAGGAGGGGCAGGGAGGAAAGTGTACAGCAATGAATGAATATAAATCAAAAATCTCTGTAAACTTTAATTAAAATTTCAAGTTAAAAAAAGAAAAAAAACCCAATTTTTTTTCCTTCAGTCATTCATTGCCTTAGCTTTGAGATATATGGTATTTAAAATATCATGTCTTGCATCAGGCACACTTTGTTTAGTATTTAAATTGACATCCTTGCTCTTTAGCACTCTGGAAAGGTTCTTGACAGCAGATTTCCCCAAAGCAACACATCTTTTGATTTCCCCTTTTTTTTCTGGTAATTTTAATGAAAATTTAAAGAAACTTGGATCTCCATTCATTCATTGTTGCACATTTTTCTCCCTAACGTCACTTTAAAAAAATTCCTTCATTGTAGCATAGTTTTCTCCTTCTCCCCCACCCTTCTCCCAGTCCACTTTGCTATGTAACTCTTATTCTGAACTGTTGTCATACAAATAATGCCTAATTGTATATTTCTTTTAAATAGTTCTTTCTTTCATCTGTTGCAGCACAGTATTCATTATTTATCCCCTCTTTTCTTTGTTTCCCAACCCCCCGCCATGTCAGTCCTGCTTTATAACAGTTCTGTTATGCAGTATTTGTCCTTTTGTGACTGAGATATTTCACTCAGCATAATGTTCTCCAGGGTCACCCATGTTGTATAATATTTTGTGAGTTCTTTCTTTTCCAGTGCTGTGTAGTATCCCATTATATGAATATACAATCATTTTTCTATCCATTAATTTTTTCTTGGGCACTTAGGTTGCATCCATCTCTTTGTGATTGTGAATAATGAAGCAATTAACATGGGTGTGCAATATCTTTTGATTTCTTGACCACTTCTGTATGTATTGTTTGTGGATCCAAGTGAAAGGAAGTTGACAACTTTGGGTTTTTCTCAATCTATCATGATGTTACCTATTGGTCTAGTGAAAACATTTGATTCTTGATGTTATCCATATTGAAAACTATAGTCTTTGATCTTCTTCAGAAAGCACTTCAAGTCTTCTTCACTTTCTGCAAGCAAAATTGTATCACCTACATATTGCAGTTTGTTGATGAGTCTTCCTTTAGTCTTGATCTAGTCCAGCTTCTCAAATTTCTTCCTTAGCATACAGATTACATCAATATGATATACCGTATTGTACTATAAATGTATTCTATTCATACATTTATATTTAATTAAATTATAAAAATGGAGGAAAAAGGAAGTATACTATGAAAAATAAAATATATAAAACTGCGTTTATATAACCTTCTTGTGATCTTCAGGAAGTTCCAAATTCCAACAGAGATGCAAATTTTCTATTTACAAAATAAGAGTAGTAATTATACTTATATCCCTATGTGGCTAATAGATGTTCAATAAATAGTTAGCTTTAGTTTTAAGTCTGAATTAGCATTTAAAGTAAACCATGTTGCTGAATAGGAAGCACATGAGGTCAGAAATAAAAAATTACATTGTGAATTCAGAGGAAAAGAACAAAAAAAATAAATTATCTCAGAGGATAACAGTTCAAATATTCAGAAAGTAAGCATGCAAAAACAATAAACTTCTTGGTTTTTTTTAATTTTCTTTTTTCAGGTGAGCTGGCACTGGAAAAATTTAACAGAACTGGATCAACTCTGGATGCTCAAATGTTTACGGTTTAACTGGTACATCAATTTTTCTCCTACTCCGTTTGAGCAGGGCGTATGGAAGAAACACTATATTAAAATGGTGAAAGAACTTCGTGTTACCAAGCCTAAGGTAAACAAGGGGATGTGAACTTACTAAAACTGACTGATTATTACTATTTATTCTTAGAAAGGGCTTCTCATGTGGCCTTTTACATGGTGTTGCTTTGCTAACCTGAATGTCAGCAGATTCTCCTCAGCAGAAAGGTGGGCAATCTCCCCTAATGCTATTTTCAGCCTCTGAAAGCGCAGCTGCAGAGTTGGGCCCCACAAGTAAGGGCATATTTCAATAGAAATACACTATGCCTTTAAAATTCTCTTTTTATCTGAGAACGTGACTGTGCTTTTCAATATATTGTGTCAGCTGAGAACTCTCCTGACATCCTCAAACCGCACATTACCCAGAAAGTTAGAAATGTGCACATTCTCCCTTTGTCCGATTTCTTGCCTTTCTATAATGGTACTTGAGACATGAGTATTTCATAATTCTAGCAGCTGCACTGGAGTTTATTTTTTGCTCCGGTTAGAACGAAATGCTTGCTCATTTACCAAATAAATGAGTAATTACACAAGATCACAATGAACACATGAAGTTTTCAAGCTGGAAAAGAATGGGACAATGTATTTATGTTACAATCATAAAAGCAAATAATACGAGAATAATTTCTCTAGTGAATTTCTATGCATTATAATCACTGTTTATGCTTATTCTTATAGTTACCATTAATTATATAACTTCTAGGAAATTTCTATGGGCCTTTTCCCTACAGCATGCCGAGTTCTCTAATCATGCAGTTATGTGTCATTTTATGCAGTAGATGAGCTCCTGAAAAATTGTATGAAAATTAATTTTTAAATTATTTTAAAACCACAGGGGATGTTATATTCTATGAAAAAGCTCTGCAGTGAAGCCTTTAAAAAGGGGAAAATTCTTCTGCAGCATAAATAATCAAGTCTTAACTTACTCATTTAGATTGAAGTTTTATTGTATTAAAGCAGAATTCATCTGCATTAAATACAATAGCAAGCTTTGTTGCATAATTTATATTATTACAATAGTATGATAAACTAATCTTTCTGATTTCAATAATTTGTGTGATCCTGTGAAAATATTTTCCCCCTAAAATAAAAAATTTAACCTGTAGTGTTAGAAAAGTTCTTTTAAAAATTTCCATAGCTCTGTCTTCTTAGAAAGCCTTCCTATGTCTTAATCTCAGCTGGGAGAAGGAGGAGCATTCAGTAGCTGGAGCTCAGCTTGTTGGGAAAAGGTAAAGAAAAGCAATAAACTCATTTATGACATGAAAAGAGGTTTCTGATTATTACATATAACACTGACTTTAGTACATGAGTTAGTATCTTTTCTTATAAGAAACTGAGGCATAAACATAATGAATTGAAATAATTAATAGCTTTGATGCATAACATTTTCTTTCTTTGGTGTTAAAAGTCTTTAAGAACTAATTTGCTATATTAAGCCAAAATTTATCTGCTAAAGAAACAGACCTAAGTAAAAAAAACTAAAGTTAATAGACTCATCTCAATATGCTTGTGTGGTTTGTCTAACTCCCTGTAAAGTGGCTGCAGTGGTAATGTATCTGGGTAGCCACAATATTGTTGTTGTTGTTGTTGTTGTTGTTGTTATTATGTGCCATTGAGTGAGAACTGACATATAACTGACACTGCAACCTGTTTTCAGAGTCTGTAAATTATATGGGAGGAGGTTGCTCATCTTTTTCCCACACAGTGGCTGGTGGGTTTGAAGTTCCTGGTGCCTTGACAGTGTAACTCCTTACCCACTAAGCCACCAGAGCTCTCTAGGAAGTCACATGGGACAACATAATTTATCTTTCCTCAAACATCATCACAGATAGGTAGTCTTTCCCAGAGGCGCAAGGTTCAAATCCACCAGATGCTCTGCCGAGGAAGGAGGGAAAATCTCCTCCTGTACCAGTCAGATCTGATTTGATGGTACACACAAAAAAAATAATAATAAAATTTTTAAAAAAAGATAGGTAGTCTTCTCCTATTGTGATTTACAGCCTCAGGGTCATTGTGAATCACAATAAATTGTAGTGGGTTTGAGTTACTTGTGTGGTTGGTTGTATTTGGTTTTGTTTTGTTCTTAAATTACACATTTAAAGATGAAATAATGCCACTTCTACATAATTATTTTTCTGAAACTAGAGAAAAGGCAGTAGTTCCCAATCTATTACAATAATACTAAAAGCAAGCAAAGGGGGGAAAAAACCCAACCCGATAGACTTATATCCCTCATGAACATAGACCCGAAAATCCTTTAACAGTATTAGCAAACTAACCCTAGTAATATCTAAAAAGACTAATGCATAATGATAAAGTGAGATTCTTTCCAGAAAGTAGTGTTGGTATGTGGCTGTTGAGTACCAATCCATAGTCAGAACCAATCCATAGTCAGAATCAATCCATAGCAGACCTTCAATGGGTTTTCAGAGGCAAAAAGTGCCTTGGGATAAGATAGTATTTAAAGTTGGTATTGTTGTTGTTGTTATGTGCCATCGAGTCGTTTGCGACTCATGGCGACCCTATGTACAACAGCCCTAAACCCTCCTCTATCCTGTGCCAATCTCATTGCCTCCGACACACCCATCCCAATTACCCCAGTCACTGAATCAATCCACCACATAGAGGGTCTTCCCCTCCTTCTCTGTCCCTCCACTCTGCCCTCCTCTCCAAAAACCTGTCTCTCCTTACAACATGTCCAAAGTGTGTCAGGCGAAGCCCCAGAATCCTTGCTTCCAAGGAGCAGCCTGGTTTAATCCTCTCTAGGATGAATCTATTTGTTTTCTTGGCAGTCCATGGTACATTCAATACTCTTCTCCAGCACCACAGCTCAAAGGCGTCGATTCTCCTTCTATCCTCCCTAGTCATTGTCCAACTCTCTGATGCATATAGTATTTAAAAAAATAAAATTTTATAGATATAAAAAAATAGAGATGTGGATGGTGGGGAGAAATCACACAATTCAATGGGTGGATGGAGGGGGTAAAAAAATGGAAAAGATCCTGTGGGAACCTGACAAGATGCAGTAATGGTGGGCATAAATAATGGTGGTCATTTATTTTATAGAACACAATGTATGAGAATGATTTTATGAAGCATAATGTCAATGAAGGAGCAGGAGAAACACACATACCCCCAGAATACCCCACTATGTACATGAATGAAGCACAATGTATATGAATAATTATAAGTATACTAATAAAGAGAAAAAAATAAGTATCTATTAAAAAGCAATCCCCCTCCACAAAAAAAGGGATTAGCTGATAATGCTGCATATTGTTTGTTGTTATTATGTGCCTCTGAGTCATCTGAGACTCGTAGGGACCCTATGTACAACAGCTGTAAACCCTACTCCATCCTGTGCCAATCTTACGTTCTCCAACACACCTACCCCAATTACCCTAGTCACTGAATCCATCTCACTGAGGGTCTTCCTCTCTTGCACTGGCTGTCCCTCCACCCTCCCAAGCATGATGTGCCTCTCAAAGGACTGGAGGACAACCACCTGGCCAACTGGCTGGAAGAGATTTGTTCCCATTTCAAAGAAAGGTGATCTGACAGAGTGTGGACATTATTGAACAATATCATTAATATCACATGCGAGCAAGATTCTGCTGAAGATTATCCAAAAAATGACTGGAACAGCACATCAGCAGAGAACTGCTGGAAGTACAGGCTGGATTTAGAAGAGACCATGATACGAGGAATATTGTAGCTAATTTTAGATGGATCTTGGCTGAAAACAAGGAATACCAGAGGAACGTCTGTGTTTCATTGACTATGCAAAGGCTTTTGACTGTGGACTACAATAGTGGCTGACTCTGAGAAAAATGAGAATCCCAGAACATTTGATTATGCTAATATGAAACCTATACTTAGACCAGAAAGTAACCATCAGGACAGAGCAGGGAAACACTGCATGGTTCAAAATTGGGAAGGGTGTATGCCAGGGATGTGTTCTGTCTCCATACCCATTCAATCTATAGCAGAACAGACTATCTGGGAGGCTGGGCTCTGTGAGGAGAAATGTGGCATCAGGATTGGAAGAACACTCATCAACAATCTGCATTATGAAGGTGACACAACCCTACTTGCTGAAACGGAGGAGGATCTGAAGCGCCAGCTGCAGAAGGACAAGGACTGCAGCCTTCAATATGGATTGAAGCTCAATATCAAGAAAACGTTCTCTAATGCTGCATAGGTAAAAAGAAAGAGCTCATGGGCTTTAGCTCTTTGGTTTGGGGGTTTAGGGTCATGGTTCGATGCATCATTACAGTTAACTGGCATAGTAAAGTGTTCAGTCTTTCTGTTCTACCTCTTACTGCATAGTGTCCAGAGTCTTAAAAGTTTGTAAGTGACCATCCAAGAGACCAGCAATTGATCTCTATTGACTAGAGTAACACAGAAAAGGGAAAGTCAGGAATTGTAGGGTAGGGAATGTGTGACTAATTGCCTCCAGGAACAATTACCTCCTTTGCCCTAAGACCAGAAGAACTGCATGATGCCCAACTAGTAATACTGAATATTTTGATCAGAGAGTTCATAGACAAATTCTGACCAAAAGGGGGAAGATGCCAAGCAGAGACTCTAGACTCTAACAATGGGCTCAAACATGTCAGAGATCATGAAGAAGGTGCAAGATAAAACAAGGTTCTTAGCTGGTCTTTTTGATGTTCAACTACAGCTATGAGTTGTAGTTCATTCAACAACACAAAACAACAAGAATTTGATTTTCTGGAACCATGGAGGTTGGATTAATCCTGAAACTGTTGTGCTGAGATTATCTTTAAACTTTAAGCCAAAGATAGCTCCTGAAGTCTATTTAAAACCAAATAATAGTTTAGCTTAACTATTAAAAAATGTTTGTCTTGAAAAAAATTTTCTGTGTAGCATCAAATTGACAATAGCAACTCCAGAGATTAAGTAGAAACAATAGAAGATAGTGAGTTTAAACAACACCATATCAGCAGTAGTCAAGAAATCAAAAGACAAAGACATTGGGAAGTGTTGCATTGGGAAAGTTTGTTGTTAAAGACCTCTTTAAAGTGCTAAACAGCAAGAATATCAGTTTCAAGACTATGGTGTTTCTGATTCAAGTCATTGTATTTAATTGTTTTGTATGTATCTGAAGACCAAGGAAGAATCCATGGTTTTGAGTATCATGTTAGATAAGAGTTTTTATATTTTATGAATTTCCAAAAGAAAAAACCACAGATCTGTGTTGGAGTAAGTGTGGCTCCTTAGAGGCAAAGATGCTGAAACTTTTTTCATACGTTGAGCATAATATCAGGAAGTGCTAGTCCTTAGAGAAAAACATTATGCTGGGAAATGTAAAATGGCAGAGAAAAGCGGAATATCATCAATAAGATGGATTACATAGTGACTGTAACAATGGACTTCAACATGGTAGAAATCATGTGGATGGTTCAGGATCAGATCTGTTGTTCATAAGGTTGCAATGAATCAGAGTTTGATAGTAGACTTGATGGCATTTACCAGTAATTAAAGATTCTGCTAAAACTTTTTTTTTTTACCATAGAGACCAGGTCTTTGTTTAATTGTCTTCTGTTGGAAAATCAGTTAATGCAACTCTATGGAAGTAGGGAAATTGATACCCAGTGATAAAAAAAAGTTGAATTTGATTATAAAAAAAAAGAAGATAGTGAGTTTATAATAATAAGGCACAACTCAAAAAAGGAGAACAGAATGATTGTACTACTTGAAAAATATAATCAGTGTCACTAAATTGTATGTCTAGAAACTGTTAAATTTCTGTATGTTTGCTACATATATTCTCAAAAATAGCACAATAAAATTTAAAATAAAAAATATTTTAAAAGAAAAATAGGTATGGGCATTGTAGTATATGCAACAACAACAAAAAGCATTTAATAGAATTCAGTGCCCATTTATGATGCCACCCCAGGGGGGGAAAAAAAACCAAACCAGTCCTCAGAATAACTTCTGCTGACATTAACAGGAAAATTTGGTTTACTTACTATAATAAAGCGTGATCATTGATTTTGTTACTTTTTTGTTAAAGTGTCAAGCTTTTTTTTTTACTTTCCAGAATTAATGATGACTATTTCTATATAATTACTAGCATTTGTATCTAAAGTTTTCCCCCTGAAGTTGGTTTTTATTATTGTCATGTATTATTTATTCCCAACAGTATTAAACTCGACTGCCTCTGGCAAAAACAGATACCAGATTTAATTAAATATTAAGCTCAGGAAAATGAATGTCCATTCTAAATGAGACTTGCATGAAATATTTAATACTGGTAACCAGTAATGAGCTGTCAATTATATACATCTAAAATATCTTCTTAATAATATAACTTGGCAATAAGTAAGTATTTATTAAGCACTGTTATGTGTTAAAAGGGGCCCTGGTGCCACAGTGGTTAAGGGCTTGTATGCTAACGAAAAGGTTAGCTGCCCAATGTGAGAAGGATGTGGCTCTCTGCTTCTGCAAAGACCACAGCCTTGGACACCCACTAAGGCAGTTCTACGGTATGCTTTATAAAGTCGTTATAAATTTACTTGACGGCAATAGGCTTGGGTGTTTTGGTTATTAAAGACAGCATACTGGGAAAGGTAGAGGGCCTGAGAAAAAGAGGAAGACTCTCAACATAGATTGACCCAGTGACTTTATCAGTGGGCTCCAGCATATCAGAGATTGTGGGCATGGTGCAGCATAGGTTCAGAGGTGTTGTTCACAGGGTCTCTAACTCGTAGTCAACTTGATTGCACCTAACAGCAACAGCAGCATTTCCTAGAGTCTAGAGGTATAGAGGTCCTGGCTCTGCTTCAAGAAACCTAAGGAAGTTGCTGCCATCCTAAAGGCAAGTGGTTCAATCGACTAGGTGCCCTGCAGGAGAAAGATGGCCAGTTTTATCCTGTGCAAGTTACAGCCCCTGAAAACCCACTGGAGGGTCAGCTATGAGTTGGTTCCAACTTGATGGCACATAACAGCAACAGTTTATGTCCCAGGACATGGCAAAATAAATAATTATAACACTGATTAAATGTTTCCCTGGAGTAGCAGTGTATACAAAGAGCAGTTGGAAAAACTAATACTGTTCAGAGAAATGGGGGGATTTCTTGATTTTCCCAAACAACCTAAGAAAACCAATTTACCAAGCAAGGCTTCTTTAATCTCTTAAAGAACAAAAATTAAGCCCTTAATGGCTTCTCAACATACCAATAATGTCATTCCCTTAGGCCACAATCTTATAAAAGCATTATGCATTTCATATACTCACACACGTACAAAAAAACCTCAATTTTGGAAATAAGATCAGAAATGTCTTTTGGGAATAGTTGGGAGTTTCATACCTGATAAAAATCTATAAACGACCCTGAGGTGAATCTAAGATATGACAGGTAGGGCACATGCCTTGGGCAACATAGGAGGGGAGGGGTGGGAATCAGTAAGCAGTTTCTATTAACCATCTCAGTTTTCATCACCAGCAGTGAGAGATCACTCAGCAAGTCACAATTAAAGCTTTAACATTTGAAAGCCTCCCTGGGTCAATGCAGGCCAGGCTGTGTGATCTTGCTTTGCTGAATGTAGAAAGAGATGAAACTGAAAAAGAAAATAACACTTTGAGCATATCACAGGCCAATTTTCATCAGTGAAAGCAAGGAAGGTGTAGAGGTAATTTTCATGTACAGCTGTCCCTGAATTTCTGTGAGGATTGGTACCAGAACCCCTGAGGATTCCAAAGTATAAGAATGTTCAAGTCTCTTCTATAAAATTGTATTTGCATATAAATGACACATATCCTCCTATAATCTTTAAATCTGGATTGTGTGTAATAACTAATGCAAAGTAATTTGCTATGCAAATAGCACTGTTCTCCCTCTCAGCCTTTGAGGGGGCTCTGGTAGCTTAGTGGTAAGGAATTGCACTGCCAATCCAAGGGCATATGGTTCAAATCCCACCTGCTGTCTCAATGATACATAAAAGCTGTTGAGAGGTTGCTTCGACTATTTCCTTTCCCCAGAATATTTTGTATCCATGGAAGGTTGAATGTTTGGCTGCAGAACCCTTGAATATAAAGAACTTGGTTTAGTTCTGTTGTGAGTCAAACTATTAATGAGCTTGACTTGTAATGGTGAAATTCATTGTCAGGAGTGGATTTCAACTCCTAGCAGCCCTCTATCAATTTTCTGAGCCTGTAAATCTTAACAAGAGAAGACTGCCCAGTAAACATGGGTATCCTTATATCTACTTAGGTGGCAGTTCTGGTTTATTTAGGGTATATTTCTAGTAGTGGAATTGATAAGTCTGTTTCCAACTTTTTGGGAATGTACCATACAGCCTTCCATAGTGGTTGCACCATTTTACACTCCCACCAACGGTGAATAAGGGTGTCAGTTTCTCCACAACCTTGCCAGCATTTGTTGTTTGCTGCTCTGTTGAATTTTGCTATTCTTACTGGGCTGAAATGATATCTCATAGTTGTTTTTTCTGTTGGGTTTCCTAGGCTGTCAATCTCAATGGGAGATGATGCCTCATCTTTATCCTGCAGGCAGCCAGTGGTTTGGAACTGCTGACCTTTTGGTTAGCAGCCCAACACTTAATTAGTTTTTCCTATCCCCAATTTCCTCTTCTGCAAAATGAGACTAATAATGATTTCAGGGATCACCCTACAGGGTTTTTGTGACATTTAAATGAGCTTATGCATGAATTCTTGTCTGAGGTAGAGTCTTTCTCATAGCAAGTACTCACTGAATATCCACTGCTATAATCATTATGACCAACATAATTACTATGATTATAAGAGTTATTTCTGTACTGTTGTTGTTCTAGTGTATTGAAAACATAAATAATTAACTTTATTCTTCTAGACTCCTCTGAAGGATAGCTTTGTAATTGCTGATGTTCAGCCTATTGCAAGCAGCTCTCTGGAGGAAAAGCAATCTCCTTCATCAGCTTTTAGACCTTCTTCCTCTTTAAGAAAGAAGAATAGCCCAGGGGAGAAAGAACTCCCTCCTTGGCGATCCTCTGACAAGCATCCCACTGACATCATTCGTTTCAATTACTTAGACAATTGTGACCCCATCGAGCAAGGCTGGCAGGGGTAAGTAGCTCTCTGCCCTTCTCATCTTCTTTGCTTCGAGGAACAATTTATTGGCACTTCAGTATATGAAGAGATGAAAAGAGAATTCCCTGTGAAATACAAAAGCTTTTCCATATATGGAGGCAAAAAGTAATTGAAATGTAAAATTCACTGTTAGGAAATCTGCCCTGTTCATTATTGTTTCTTTGCATTTTTGTGACTGTAATCAATATAATGACAGCTTCTTTTAATATTTTAATACCTCTAATTCCAGTAAAACATGATAGGGCTCATGCTAGCTTTTCCTCTTTCTGTATTTGTACTTCTCTTCAATAGGGAAAACCTGGCTCTCAGTATATTTTCTTGTATATTATCTTATACATGTACTTAATATATCCTTATGCCTTTGACCATCCCAGACTACAAAAGTGGTAATTTAAAAAAAAAAGTAGTAATTTCAGAATTGCTAACCCATATCATTATTTTTAGAAAAATCTAAAGAAATCAAAAGACGAATTAATTGCATTAGGTAAATTTGTCAGGGACCTCTCCAGAGTACTGAGAAGCAATGATGTCAGTCTAGAGACTAGGGTGCATCTGATCCAGTCTATGGTTTTCACAATTACTTTTTATGCTTCGAGAGCCGGAGAATGACTAAGGATGATAGAAGAAGAATTGATGATTCCTTTGAGTTGTGGTGCTGGAGAAGAGTCTTGAACATACCATGGACTGCCAAGAAAATAAATAAATCTGTCTTGGAGAGGGTGAAACCAAGTTTTTCCTTGGAGGCTAGGATTTCAAAGCTTCATCACACATACTTTGGGCATGTGGTCAGGAGGGACTGATCCTTGGAGAAGGACATCATGCCTCTAAGGGTGGAGGTCAGCCAGCACAGGAGAGGAAAACCCCAGATGAGATTAATTGACCCAGTAACAAGGGCAATGAAGATAGGTTTATCAGAGTCAGCGAGAGTGACTCAGGACAGGGCAGGCTTCAGAGCTATTGTACACAGAATCACTATGAGTGCAGGCGACTTGATAGCACATAACAACAACAAGTAGAATTCAAGATTTGCTTATGATTCATTTTGCCGTTTATCTGAGAGTATACAGTAAAAAATCCTATGGGTTCTTCTAGTTACCCCCTTCAATATGGTTCTTCTAATTACCCCCTTCAGCATGGTTCTAAAATTAAAACTATGGAAAGGGAAACTCTGATACTACCCTCTTCCTCCTTACTCAAAGCTTTGCCTTCATTTTTCCACCATGTTCCCTGGGTGGAAATGTTACTTGTTTCTGGATTATCCTTCCAGTGTTGCGTTTTTGAACAAAGTTGCATTGAGATACAATTCTTCAACTATCTGGTTGGCAAAGAAAGTTTAAAGTTTGACAGGATATTCCGGGCTCAGAAGACTGTAAAGAAGCAGGTGCTCTCATAGACTGCTGATAGGAATGCAGAAGGGACACAAACGGCAAGAGAGACATCTCAACATCAAGAAAACAGAAACCAGCACAATGAACCAACAGGTGACACCATGATAAATGGAGAAAAGATTACAGTTGTCAAATATTTAATCGTACGTGGATCCATGCTGGGAAAAAAAGTAGATCAGTGAAAAAGAGGAAGACCCTCAACACAATGGATTGACTGTTATTGCAAAATGGGCTTGAGCATGGAGGTGATCAGAAGGACATTGCAAGATAGGACAAGATTTGGATCTGTTGTTCATAGGGTCATTAAAAGTTGTAGTCAATTGGATAGCATCTAACAACAAGAACAATAACAAAAATGCACGTGTGTGTTTACCTCTGAGCCCAGCAAGCCTTCTCTAGGAACCAATTTTGAAAATAACAAAATTATTATACCATTTTTTGTGATTTTAGAATATTATAAACAATCTAAGTGCTCATACTCGAAAGGTTCTAGACATGGATGTAAAACAATTGAGATCTCCGGTTATGGAAATTGAAAGCCTGCAAACCAGTGCATGAGGAAGAATGTCTCTTTTGACTATTTGGCAATCTTTAAAGAAAAGAATAGGATTTTGGAGGTAGTTAAAGTAACAATTGATATAAAATTAACAGTTTTAACAAAAGAAAGACTAGAATCAATAAAATTAAGAAGCTGTCGGTGTTTTGGATATAAAATTAACAGTTTTAACAAAAGACTAGAATCAATAAAACGCCAAAGCTGTTGGTGTTTTAGATGCTGCTGTTATTGTTGTTAGATGGTATAGAGTCACCTAGGGCTCATAGCAACCCTATGAATAGTAGACCTGAACCTTGATTTATCCTATGCCATCTTTATCATCTCTGATACACTCAAGCTTCTTGTTACAGGCTCTGCTACTATCAATCCATCTTGTTAAGGGTCTTCCTTTATTTTGCTGACCCTCCACCTTTACAAACATAATATGCTTTTCCAAGGACTAGCCACTCCTGTTAACATTCCCAAAGTATATGAGATGAAGGTTCATCATCCTTGCCTTTAAGGAACAACATGATTGCACTTTCTCCAAGACATTTATTTATTCTTTTTGTAGTCCATGGGATATGTAGTATTCTTCTCCAAAACAACTTAAAAAAAAAAAAAAGCTTCTGTCTTCCTTAGTCATTGTCCAACATGTAGATGCATAACAACTAACTGAAATGACTATGGCCTGAATCAGGTGCACTCTAGTCTTTAAGTTGACATTGTTGATCCTTAACACAATGGAGTGACCCTTAACAGCAGATTTCCCCAATGCAGTGCATCTTTTGATTTCTTGATTGTTGGTACCACAGGTGTTGATTGTGAGTTCAATAAGATGAAATCATTGACAACTTTAATCTTTTCTCCATCTTTCATTATGTTGCCCATTGGCTGGGTACTGAGGATTTTTGTTTTCTTAATGTTGAGGTGTAATTCATATTGAAGGCTATATAGTCTTTGATCTTCTGCAGCAATCAATGTTGTGTCATCTGCATAATGCAAGTTGTTGATCAGTCTTCCTCCAATCTAGACACTAAATGCTTCTTCATAAAGTCCAACTTCTCTAATGATTTGCTGAGTAGACAGATTAAATAGGTATAAAGAAAGATATAGCCCTGACACCCACCTTTCTTGATTTTAAACAGTGTTCTAGGGAAAGTTGGGAAATGACAGCCTCTTTAATAAATAGTGCTAGCAAAACTGGACAATCATCTGCAGAAAACTGAAGCAGGACCCACACCCCATACCATACACAAAAAAACCAGTTAAAGGTGGACCAGTGACCTAGAAATAAAACCAAAGACTATAAAGTTTAACAGAGGAAAAACTAGGAGCAACTCTAAGCCCTAATCTGGGGCATAAACAGACTTTCAAGCATAACTAAAAACCTATAACCAGGAAAAGATAAAATGGATGAAAGGGACCATCTAAAAGTCAAATCCTTATGCACATCAAAAGACTTCTCCAACAAGGTAAAAAGGAAGCCCCACACTGGGTAAAAAATATTTGGCAATAACTCATCTGATAAAGGACTCATATCCATAATTTACAGAATAGTCCAGCATCTAAACAAGAAAAAGGCAAACAATCCAATCCAAAAATGGGCACAAGATGTGAATAGGAACTTCATCAAAGAGGAAAATCAATAAACACATGAAAAATGTTTAAAATCCCTCCTTATTAGAGATATGCTAATCAAAACAACGAGATGCTATCTCACCCCAGCAACAATAGCAAAGTTCAACAGGACAGCAGATGGCAAATGCTGGCAAGCATATGGAGATTGGAACTCTTATTCATTGTTGATAGAACTGTAAAATGCTACAACCATTATGGAAGGCAGTCTGATGCTTCCTTAAAAATCTGGAAATAGGTGTACCATTTGACCCATCTATCCTACTAGTGGGAATATACCCTAAAGAAATTAGAGCTTTGACACAAATCGATGTATGCACACCCATGTTTATTGGAGCATAGCAAATAACGAAGAAAGGGAAGCAGCCCAAGTGCCCAAGAACATATGAATGGATAAAAAAACAGTGGTACAACTATAGATATCATCCCACCCCAGTAAGAATAGCAAAATTTAACAGAACAACAAACATCAAATGCTCGTGAGATTGTGGAGAAACTGGAAACCTTATTCACTATTGGTGGGCATGTAAAATGGGGCAACCACTATTGAAGGCTGTATGGCACTTTCTCAAAAAGTTGGTAATAGAAATACCATTTGACCCAGCAATTCCACAACTGGGAATTTACCCTAAAGAAACCATAACTGCTACCCAAGCAGATTTATGCACACCCATGTTTATTGCAGCTTTGTTCACAATAGCAAAGAGCTGGAAACAACCCAAGTGCCCATCAACAAACGAATGGATAGAGAAACTGTGGTATAACAATGTTATACTATGTGGCATTGAAAAATAAGGAACTCCTGATATGTTATGCAAAATGGATGACCCTGGAGGACATTATGCTGAGTGAAATAGCTCAGTCACAAAAGGACAAATATTGCATAGGGCCACTGTTGTAAAACAGAACTGACACTGGGGTTGAGCGAAAACAGAAGGGGAGGAATGATGTATATTGCATTGAAATAGATGAGGGAGAGACTGTTTAAAATAAATATGTGGATGGGTATTCTTGTCATTACAGAAGTCCAGAGTGAAGGCTGCATAGTGGAGTGGAGGGATTGCATAACAATGAAAGAGTTTTTCTTTTTTTTTTTTCAAAGAGAAGAGTGAATTGGGGGGGAGGCAGAAAAGTGCAACAATGAATAATTGGAAATCCTAAGTCTCTGTAAACTTTCAATAAAATTAATTTAAAAAAAATATGTCAATTGATGAAAAAAAAACTGGTACATTCACACAGTGGAATATTATACAGCATTGAAAAACCGACTTGTTAAACACTGTACAATCTGGATGACATGCTGAATGAAATATCACAGTTACAAAAGGACAAATACTGAGTAAGACAAAAAATAGGATGGACACAGGGAGGGGGAACAGGAAAAGAGTGGCTTGATAATGAAATCTGCACTGGAA